TCGGACACGACTGAGCAACTGAATTGAACTCAACTGGACATTCTGCTTTATTGAATGATTTTTAAAATACTGACTGTGACCCACTAAATAGAAGTTATCATTTGCTAAAGGGTCACAAACCAGAGTTGCTGGATTGTAGGGTATGACCTTTGGCTTTGTTAGAAAAAGAATGGAAAATGAAGCTTCTCACTGGCAGAATACCAGAGGTGTAGCTGCTCAGTATTTAAATATTTGCCAGCATGGTAGATGCAGCTTACAGGGTCTTTCATTTAACATTTCCTTAATTACTTATGAGGTTCTTCATTTTGTCATGTGTTTGTGAGACATTTGTATTCCCTCCTCTGTGAAAAGCCCATTAATGTGTTTGTCCACTTTTCTGTTGGGTTGTCTTTCCCTTATTGATTTCTTTATGCATACTGAATACTAACCCTTTGTCAGTTTTTGTGTTACAAATATCTTTTCCCAGCTGTTGCTTGCCTTTTCATTTACTTTCTTAATCTTATTTGATGGAATCAAATTTACCTTTTTGTGCTTTATTATTTTTTTCTGTATTATTTTGTGCTACAGAATTACAGAAAGGTCATAAAGATGTTCTCCTGTATTTTTGTCTAAAAATTTTATACTTTTGCCTGTGATGGTTAATTTTGAGTCAACATGACTGGGCCAAGGTATGCTCAGATAGCTGATAAAACATTATTTCTGGGTGTATCTGTAAGGGTGTTTCCAGGTGAGATTAAGTATTTGATTAGTAGACTAAGTAAAGATCTGCTCTCACCTGTGGGCAATGAGAAATGTGAAACAAAATGGAATCACAAAGGTAAAATTTTTTTTTTTTAATGGAACCAGAGGCCATTAATTAGGTGGACTTTTCCCACATCCTACTTGGATGGAACCTCAACTTTTGAACTGAGTGAAACCACAAATTCCAAGGACTCTGCAAAAACATCTAAAACTTGTGTGTGTGTGCTCAATTCTCCAGGCAAGAATACTGGGGTGGGTTGCCATTTCCTTCTCCAGGAGATCTTTCTTACCCAGGGACTGAACCCATGTCTCTTGTGTCTCTTGTACTGGCAAGCCTATTCTTTACCACTGCGCCACCTGGGTAATCCCCAGAACTTGTCATAGCAACAGGTTTTCACTTTGCTCTAGTCATAGTTTTAGTAATCCTGTTCAGCCAGGACTAGCTTCTGCATCCAGCTCCAATTAAAATTCTTTGCCATGCAAGCCTCCCTTCATTGTCTTTAAAAACCCATGACTTTTATTCCCTAGTAGGACACTGTTTAGGTTGCTACTCAAATCTGTGTGCTCTGCATTGTAGTTTTTTGATTCCAATAACAGATTTCTATCTCATTTTCGCCTTCTAGGCTTTCCTGGTGGTTCAGATGGTAAAGAATCTGCCTGCAGTGCAGGAGACCTGTGTTCAATCCCTGAGTTGGGAAGATCCCCTGGAGAAGGAAATGGAGTATTCTCCCACTCCAGTATTCTTCCCTGGAGAATTCTATGGAGAGAGGAGCCTGGCAGGCTACAGTCCATGGTGTTGCAAAGAGTCAGACACGACCGAATGACTATCACTCACTCACTCAGGTTTATAAATTGACAACAAGCATCATCCCATCTTCTGACGGCCCAAATAGAGTAGAGAAGGTGAAGGAAGAACTCTCTCTTTTCTTGAGTTGGGTGGTCCATCTTTTCTAGCTTTCTGATATCGGATTTCCTGGTTCTCCAACCTTTAGACTCCAGGGCTTAACTTAGCACCCCACGCTGCAAGTTCTCAGGCCAGGAACTGGAACTTAGACCATCAGCTCCCTTGGTTCTCAGGCCTTTGGGCTTGGACTCAGATACATGACTAGCTTTCTGTTCTCTGCTTGCAGATGGCAGCTTGTGGGACTTCTCAGTCTCTGTAGCCATGTGAACTAATTCCTATAATGAACCCTTCTTGCATTCATCTATCTACCCCCCTACTATTTTGATCACAATAATAATTTGCAGTAAATCTTGATATTTGATAGTGCAAGTCTCCCTGCCTGGTATTTCTTCTTGGCAATGAAAAAGCAAACCTTGACTCTTTACTTTTTAGAGGTCCACTTTAGAATCTGGCAGCAAATTTCAGCAAAGACCCTGTTGGAATTTGATTTGGAATTGCATTGAATCTAGAGATGAAATGTGGAAAGAAACTGACATTTATGATATTGAGGTTTCCTATCCATGAAAACTGTATCTCTCTCCAATTACTAGATTTCCTTAGATGTCCTTCGATGTCTTTTCTCCACAGAGTTGTCATCCATATATTGCTTGAATGTTTGGTAAAACTCATCTGTAAAACTATCCAGGCATGCCTTTTTCTGTGGGACAAATTTTAACTACTGATTTAATTCCTTCAATGGTAATAGAGCTACTTAGATTTTTTTTAATTTATCCTGGGTTCAATTTTCATAACATGTTTTTCTTAGAATGTATTAATTACATTTTTTTTTTCTTCAAAAGATCACCAAGCCAAACATTTGGCCATATTTTTATTTACTACATATACTATAAACATATACAATACATGCTACAAAAAAAACATTTTTTAAAATTTAACTGTCAAGAAAGTGTATAGTGTTATAATACAATGGCACATGTTTCATATTTTATTTCAAATTGGTTTGCTTATCATCCATTTCAAACCTTTAATAGTGAAATGTTACTTACGGATAATTAAAATTATCTATTTGCATTATTAACAATAAACAATTCCAACAATTAATAAGAATTAACCATGTCAAATATTAGTATCCAAAAAAATGGGTTTTTGCAGAAATTATTATATAAAATATAGCAGCCAATTTCGGTTTATTTTGCTCAGTGACAATGTACATTTGCACTTGAATAGGATTCTTGCATTTGCTTTTGGAAGATACTTATAAGAAGTCCTTTGAGTTCTTAAGGTCCAACAACTGCCAAACCCAGCCAAATCCAACCCAACAACTCATGTAATGGCTTTGGACAACCGATCACTGAGAAAGTCTTATGATTTGGGTAGAGCTGCATGTTTCACCAAAATTACATATGATGAAAAGAGACATTACAAGCCAATATCAAGGTCAGAGGCAAAAAAAAAAAAAAAATACAAACATTCAAATCAATTGTGACAAAGCTTTTCTACAAATATTTTAGATGTCATACTTTCAGGAAAACAAGATTTAACGTGTATTGGGCTTTACAGTATCTATGCTCTAACTGAAAATTTAAGAGTCATCAGATAGAATTAAGTCTAGTATTGCAAACCTGTCCATTCAACATTATTGAGCACCCACTATGTGCACAGCACTGTGCTAACATTTTAAAAGTTGAGTATTAATGTCTTTTATCAAGCACTATCTTAGTGTGAGGTAAAAATATATTAAATTAGCGTCAACTCATTAGTTTGCTTGTGGTGATGTATGTAATCCTGTGCCAGCTGGCTTCCCTGTGCCATATAATGAGCTTCTGCACACCTCGCATTCACTCTCACCAATCTGTATGCCGGCTGTGCCAGGCATGGTGCTAGTCACTGGGATATCATGATTTGGCATACGTTCAATGAATGCAAATTAATCTTAACCTAGGCAAAACAACTGGAAAAATACATTACTTTTCTAAAGTGAGGCCCAAAGCAAAGAACACGGTGTTTCTATTGGTCATATCACACCACAGACCAGTAAGTGCCTCTAGGCTGGGAACTAAATTTGAAGAAGTTTCATATGGTAGTCTAAATAGCCTCTATCATAATTTTTGGTCTCAGAAGTCAATTCTTTGGAGCACCTGACCCTATATAAACCATTCCACACTTAAAAGGGTTTGTAAACTAAACTTGAACACAAAGAAAAAGAGCCCCAAGTGAAGGCAGTTTATAACATAGTATATTTCAAGCACTATTCTGGCCATATGAAACAAATAATACATAAGTAATTCATGATTGGTTCAAACATTTTTCAAAGTACTAAAACCCTATCCCCAAACTCATGTAATTTTAACTTGATTTTTATACAAGTTGTACATAAAGCAAAGGGCAGAATTTGGCCCCCCCAACCGTCTGTGGAATATTCTAAGTGATTGGTCCTTCCACTCCAAGTAGAAGTTAAGAATTCCAAAAAGTCCCCTGATAGAACAACGGCACTCAGGAGAACGGCCCTGCTGGATCCCATTAGCCAGGAGTCCACTGAACTGTGGTAGCAGTGTGAACCTACTATGACCCCTTGAGGGATGGCAGAGAGCTGGGAGTTTGGCTGTCCACGCAGTGAATCCAATACTGGCTTAAAGCTATGCACTGAATAAAGTGCTCTGCACATCCTGCTTATCATCTGGAATGAAAATAAACACTTATCTTGAGAATTAACCTATCTGCAGGTTTGGAGAAAAGGAATTACAAGGCTTGAAAGAATCCCAAGAAAAAGTATGAAGCATCGACTGGGAAGGAAGACAAATGCCTCTAGTAGTGTTCTCAGAATTCTCAGGATTTGAACTGTCAGAATGAGTCATACAATGGTCATGTTCCATAAATGAAAAAGCAATCCCACTGGGTACTATTCACACGTGCATGATTACTTCATGGGGTGGAAGGGAACAGTCTATTGCCATTTGACAGCATGGTTTCAGAATGAAAACCAAACCATTGAATAAATCAGGGTAAGTGGTGTGCAACACTTCTCTCCCGTCCATCAGTTTTCCACAGGTTGATTTGTGTTGCCTGAGAAAAGGGAGGCAAGATGCCAATCCTTTCAGATACACTCAGGCAATGGTGCTACCACCTAAAATCACCAATTCAAAAGTTAACACACAAGCCCTCCAGTTTCGTACCCTGAATATGGTAAATAAGACCAGGGATGGAGTAATTCAGTCTAAAAAAGATCACAGGCAACAGAATGCTTATATAAACTAGACTGCTTTGACATCTGTAAGAAAACTGTATAGATGGCAATTGGAAAAAAAAAAAAAAGGATTGTTCCCATCTGTCAGCAAAACTGTTTGTTGAGCTATACTCAGCTGAAGTCCTCATCGGGATTCTGTTGATCCAGCAGACGGACATGTGTGAATGGGAAGTGACCTCGTTTGCCATTACACTCCCCTTCCCACTGACCACTCACATTAATCTTCGTAACCTTTACCAGCTCACCGACCTCCAATCAGAGCCGATACTGAGGCGGAGGCAGGTCTATACTTCTCCACGTAAGGGACTGGAATCATCCCTCTCTTGCCTTCGCTGTCCTCCGCATTCCACCACTGCTCTTCAGGCTTATCCCGGATTCTCAGGATGTCTCCTTTCTTAAAGGGAAGATCTTCTTCATCATTCCCATTAAAGTCAAAGAGGGCTCGTACATACTCTGCCTCTTCCTGCCTGAGAATCACTCCACTACCCTGCCTGGATCTGGAAACTGGTTCTATCAACGTTGTAGTGTCCAAATAGTGTATTTTGTAGAATTCCAGTAAAGCAGGCAATGAATCAAATTCTTGATCTCCTATTCGGAGTCTGGAGGGACTCACCCCGGGCGGAGGCTGGGCGGGCGACGGTGGCACCGGCGGGCGCGGGCCGCTGCTGTTGATGATGTAGTGGGAGACGCGCGAGTTCTCGGAGACGCTGAGCACATAGTCCCCGTGGCTAGTGCTCGAGTCCCGCACCAGGAACACCCCGTGCCGCTGGCCCTGCAACAGCGCCACCGCCTCCTGCCGACTCAGCCGCCCCCAGTACCAGCTACTCCGCTCCTCCGAGTCGAAGTTGCCCGCCATGGCCGCCTCCGCGCCTACACGCTGGCCCGCCGCCGCCGCGCGTGCCCCTCCAGCCCCGGCCCCAGCCGCCCAGCGGACCGGCTCCTATTAATTACATTTAAATTTACTAATTCATTGTCTTCAAGTTATTTATTGATTTCTTGTTGTTCATTCTCCTTAGCATCTGTAGCTATATCTCCATTTTTCCCTAAAACATTTACTTGTGCATTCTCTTTGTTTGCTTATTTTGATTCATTTCTCTTGGTTCATATCTTTTTACTTTCTTCTTATTTTTTTCCTTCTGCTTCTATCTCCTTTTTTTCCAGTCTTTTTTAAATGTATAATTAACATACAACATTATCTTAGTTTATCTTAGTTTCAAGAGCACAACATAATGATTTGCTATTTGCATATATTGCAAATGATCACCACAACAAATCTGGTTAACATCTGTCATACATAGTTACAAACTTTTCTTTTTCTTGTGACGAGCACTTTGAAGAGCTACTCTCTTAGAAACTTTCAAATATGCAATGCAGTATTTTACCTACAGTCACCATGTGGTACATTACATCCTTATGACTTATTTATCTTATGACTGGAAGTTTGTATCTTTTGACCTCTTTCACCCATTTTGCCCATCCCCAAGCCCCACCTCTGCCAACGACCATATGTTCTCTGTGTCTACAAGCATAAGTTTTTTTAAAAGATCTAACATATAAGTAAGATCATACAGTGTTTGCATTTATCTGACTTATTTCACTTAGCATAATGCCGTTAAGGTCAACTTATACTGTCACAAATGGCAAGATTTCATTCTTTCTTATGACTGAATAGTGTCTCATTCCATACATATATACCACAATGCTTTTCATTTTTTAGTTTTCAGTGAATCAGCACCTTTTTAAAATGAAAAAACCCCCATTTTTTAAACACTAAAAACATTTCATATACCACAATTTCTTTATCCATTTATCTACTGATGGACACTTGGGTTGTTTCCATATCTTGGATGTTGTAAATAATGCTGTGACAAACTTGGGGGTACACATATCTTTTCAAATTCTTTTTTTCTTTTCTTTGGATAAATACCCAGAAGGGGGATTGCTGGATCATATGGTAGTTCTATTTTTAATTTTTTGAAGAACCTTCTTACTTTTTCCATAGTGGCTCCACCAATTTAAACTCCCACCAACAGAGGACAGCGGTTGTCTTTGTTCCACATCCTCACCACCGTGTGTTATTTCTTGCCTTTATGATGATAGCCATGAAGTGATATCTCATTGCAGATTTGATTTCACTTCCCTGATGATTACTGCTGTTAAGCATTTTTTCATTTACCTATTGGCCATCTGGGCTTCCCTTGTGGCTCAGCTGGTAAGGAATCTGCCTGCAATGAGGGAGATCTGGGTTCGATTCCTGGGTTGGGAAGATCCTCTGGAGAAGGAAAAGGCTACCCACTCCAGTATTCTGGACTGGAGAATTCCAAGGACTGTATAGTCCATGGGGTCGCGAAGAGTTGGACATGACTGAGTCACTTTCACTTCACTTCACTTCATTGGCCATCTATATGATTCTTTCTATTAATATCTTCTTAAATTGGATGATTAATTCATTAATTTGCACCTTTTTCTTTCTTAATGTAAGAATTCATGGTATAAATTGCTTTCTAGGTATATCTTTAGTGGAATGACCCAAATAGTGATATCTTAGTATTTGTGTTATCATCTAGTTCTAAATATTGTCTAGTTCCCATCATGTTTCCTTCTCTGACTCATAATTTATCTCATAGTGTGTTCTAAAATGTCTTAAAGTGTAGGATTTTTCTAGCTATCTCTTTGTTATTGATTTCTAGCTTAATTGAATTATGGTTAGAAAAAATGATCTTTGTCTTACCAGTCCCTTGAAATTTGTTCAGACTTGCTTCAAGGTCAAGGACATGGTCAGTTTCATAAGCATTCCTTTGTGCGTGGTCAAAAAGAATCTGTATTCCACAATTGTACTGTATGTGTTCATTAAATCAGTTTGCAGGTAACTTTTTCAAAGCTTCTGTATCTTTACTGATTTTTGTGTACCCTTAATTTATCAGTTCCTGAGAGAGGTGTATGTAGATCTCCTACTGTATGGTGAATTTGTTATTTTCCCCTTGCAACAGGCCAACATTTTCAATATCTATTTTAGGACTTTTATTAGATGTGAACAATTTTAGAATTATCATACTTTCCTACTGAGTTGCAACTTTTATCAGAATTGTTGTGGAGTATATTCTAAGACCAGCAACTAATTCTCCGAGTTCCAGACTGGTTGCTCAACAAGTCAGTTCGATTTTGACACTAACCACAGACCTCACAGTGTTAGTGCTCAGTACCCTGAGACTGCCCTCCTTCACCTTCAGATGCTGTTCACCAATTGTAAGTCCCAGGCCGCATGTATTTCTGTCAATGGACTAAAAATCACAGGTTCCCACAACCACTCTGATGGTTCAATAATTTGCTAGAGAAGCTCACAGAATTCAGGAAAGCACTTTAATTATGTTTACTGATTTATTATAATGGATACAACTCAGGAACCACTAAATGGAAGAGATGCATAGAGCAAGGTGTGGGGGCAGAGCTTGCAAGGCGCTTCCATGTCCTCTTGAGGCAGCCACTCTCTGGATACCTTGGTTTGTTCACCACCCAGGAAGTTCAAGTCTCTTCGCTGAACAGTTTTTATAGAACTTAATCTTCGGCACCCTCTCCCACGTTCCCTTCTTAGAGATCAGTATAGCCTGAAATTTCCAACCCTGTAATCACTGGGTCTTTCTGATGACCAGCCCCATCCTAAGGCTACCTTACAGTCTAAGTCACCCGATTAGCACAAACTCAGGTTGATCAAAGGGGTTCCTTAGAAATAACAAAAGACAAGCCTATCACTCGGGAAATTCTGAGGGTTTTAGGTGCTCTGGCCCAGAACCAAGGACAAAGACCAAGCATATTTCTTATTATGTCATACTTTTTATCCTCTTACTGTCTAGTAATCATTTTTGCTTTAAAGCCTATATTATAGGATATGAAAATGCTATACAAACTTTTAGCTAATTAGTATTACTAATTAACAAATTTTTAGTTAGTACTTGCCTAGCATATCTTCTTTTAATTAAAAATAATTATATAATTTATTGAAACAATTTTGAAAGTTTTATTTTATTTAAATTTTCAAGTTCAAATTTCAGAAACTTTTAAGATGTTTTATGTGAAAATTTTAATATACAAAAATACTAGAAAGACTAGTACAATGACTATTCATATACCCAGTGCATAGATTAAAAATTTATTTTTTGTCATATTTGCTTTATCTGCATCTATTTTTAAACTGGATCATGTGCTTTACATAAAATTTCATGCCTATCACATTTAATAAAATTCATAATTTCTTAATATTGTAAAATACTCATTCCATATTTAAATTTCCCCAGTTATTCCGACTGCTTTTATACTCATTTTTCACACTTAATTGTTTTGCCTCCAACATGTTTTTCAGTCTAGGACAATTTATACACACGCTCAGTTTTTCTTCTTGATAACATTAACATTTTAAATACATCAGATGAGTTGTCATGTAAAATGTCCATCATTGTAACTTATGTTTGTGTTCTTATATTCCCTGGATTAGTTTTCTAATCCAGTGTAATGTTTGCTTTTACTTGGAAAGTTTGGCAAGTTTAATCCATTTATATTTATGGTCATTACTAATACATTTGGAATTAGTTCTTACATCTTATCTGGTTATTTCTACACACCACACTTTTTGTATTTTTCTTTCTTTATTTTTAAATTTAACTGGGTATTTTGATTTGCTTTCTTGTTTTATTTTTCCTCATTCTTTTTTTAAACTACATAATTAGTTTGGAGGTTAATAGTCTATGTGTCCACATCACATTCTGCCCCATGTAAGAGAAGGGGCTCTAAGATGTCTACCCTTTTATGTTTGGCCTGTGTCTCTTGGATTTGGGGAGCTTGAGAGCTCGCATGACATGTTACATCAATAAGGCTGAACCAAAAAAAAAAACTACACCAGGAGAAAATTATTCTTAAATCAACACTGGGGCATAAAAAAGCACAAGCTTATCCTAGGTCAGATATGGCCCAAGCAGGAGGGAGCTAGAAAGGAGCCATTTATAAGTTCTGTCCAGGATTCCACAGACAGATGGTCCCCCTACCACCGGAGCTGATCAAGGAAACACTGTCAACTAGATGGAGGATAAGACTTGTCCTGTGGACTGAAGGACAAATTGGCCCCATCAGGGGGCTTCTGAGGAACACACAAACGCTCTTTTCAGGAAAATGGTAACTCTGAACATCTGCCAAGCCCAGTGAGTGATGGCAGCAAATCTCAAGGGTCCAACCAGGAATGGTCTACCTCCTTCCCTAGCCCTCCCCAAAGGCCTCAGCAGCACGCAGGTCAGGTATAGGACATCCACACCCACACTCCATAAGGTCTGAGGCAGCCTTGTACCATGGGACCTGGCTCCACTGGGCAGAGCTGATTGGTCTGGTGGGCCACCTGACCCAATGGCAGTCAGCCAATCGGTAGACAGCTCAGGGTGGTGAGTGGGCCAATCAGATTCTCTCTCAGGAGCTTGTGCTGGGAGCGCCTCGCAGGCCACAGGGAGGGATGAAGCTAAGCGGATATGGGAAGAGAAGCCACAGGAGTGGGTGTGGGATCAGAGACTTGGGGGCCGTGACAAGCCCCAAGAGGAGAGGACATAGGATCACTGCGGGGTGGAACTGATAAGGCAGAGAAAAGCTGTGGAGACCAGGGGAGGTTTTAAACAAGATTTGCCAGAGCATATACTTTTCATTATGGCTGTGGTTTGGTTTGGTTTGAGCCCCACTGGACATCTACAGACTTCAGCTGCTGACTCCTGGAAGCCGGCCTGGGTCTAGTTTCAGGTCAAGGGTCCTGGTTTCCCTTGGTTCCTATTCTTGCATATCAGTCAGGTTTGTCTGTCTCTCTTGCTGCGCACCTGTATCTATACA